ATCACTTCTGGACCAGGGGTAAAGGATGTGACATGAATTTCCCAAGCTGGGCTTTGCTCCTCTCTTAAGAGCAACCCCTAAGCGCAGCTGGGCGGTGGTGCAGACCTTTCACAATCATTCACAAATCCTTTTAGGTTGCTGAGGAACTGGGAATATTGCTCACCTTGGTAACTGTCCTTGAAAGGGCTCAGGTTGAAAAATATGTGTCTCCTACCATTCACCCACCAGTGCTCTGTTGAATCGGGGGAGTACTTTACCACAATGAATTTCATTAATGCACATTCCTATTTTGTCTGGAATACCTACCCTTCCTTATTGCTCCAATTTGTAAGAAATATGTGTTGGATTTAGTTGTGAATGAAGAAGAAGAACCTAACTTTTGGTTTGAGGGGAAGATGAGATATTTTTGATGCATATCTGTTGATGTTGAAATGAACTTCTGAAAAGTAATCCAAAATAATACAGCATGTGTTTCTATTTATTTTTCTTCTCAAGATAGAATTTTAAAAATTTGATGGCAATGGGGTTTGGAGAAAGAAAGAGTAATCTATTTAACAAACTATTCAATCTATTCACAGAACTATCTTTGTTTTAACCTTTTTAGTTGATTCCCAGTAGAATAAGGAGGGGCCACGAGTTATAGAAAATGAAGGGCAAGACTTTAAGTAACCACTTAGAGTACTGAAGAAGTCGGTCAAATGCTGTTACGTGCCATCGAGTTGGTTCTGACTCATAGCAAACCTGTGTACAACAGAACAAAACACTACTGGGTCCTATGCCAGCCTCTCAATCATTGCCATGCTGGAGCCCATTGTCACAGCCACTGTGTCAATCCATCTTGTTGGCAAATATGGCACTCGGAAGTGTAGCTTTAAGTCATCTCTCTCCTTTTCAATTAGATATGGTGAAAATTTAAAAACCCAAGGAAACAGAAAGTTAATGCTTTTTAAAATATGAGCAGACCATATTGCTTGTAACAAAACATTTTCTAAGTTCAAATCTGGAATTAGAGCAGCTGTAGTGCAGGTTGAACTTATCTAGTATTTAAAATTTCCATTTAACACACTGTAACTTGAAAAGAAGATGGAAGGAATACACATAGTCACTGTACCAAAAACAGCTGGTTGAAGTTCAACCATATCAAGAAGTAGCATATGATCCAGAACCAATGGTATTGAAGGAAGAAGTCCAACCTGCAGTGAAAGCATTGCGGAAAAACAAGGCTCTAGGAATGGAAGGAACACCAATTGAGATATTTCAACAAACTGATGCAACACGGAAAGCTCTTACTTGTCTCTGCCAAGAAATGTGGAAGATAGCTACCTGGCCAATTGACTGGAGGAGATCCGTATCTGGGCCATTCCAAAGAAAAATAATTCAACAATGTGTAAATTATCGAACAGTATATTAATACCACATGCAAATAAAATTTTGCTGACAACAGTTTAAAAACAGGTACAGCAAATAAGGGACTGCCAGAAATTCAAGCTGGATTCAGAAGAGGACATGAAAAGACAGGTAGATATCATTGCTGATGTCAGATAGATCTTGTCTGAAAGCAGAGAATGTTAGAAATATTTCAATGTTTTATGGATTATGCAAAGGCATTCAACTGTGCGCTGTGCGTATCATAACAAATTACGGATAAAATTATGAGGAATGGGACCAGACACTTAATTGTGCTCATGTGGAACCAGTGCATTGATGAAACACAGAGGCAATTGTTCAAACAGAATAAAGAGATAATGCATGACTTAAAATCAGGAAAGGTGTGCATCAGGGTTGTATCATTTCAATTTGTATGCTGAGCAAATGCTCTGAGAAGCTGGACTATATGGAGAATGCGGCATCAGGATTGGAGGAAGACTCATTAATAACCTGTAATCTACAAGTAACACAACCTTGATTATTGAAAGTGAAGAGGACTGAAGCACTTACTAATGGCTTTCAGGATGGATTACATCTCAACATAAAGAAAACAAAAATTCTAACAGCTGGACCAATAAGCAACATCATAATAAACAGCAAGTATTGAAGTTGTCAAGAATTTCATTTCACTTGGCTTCAGAATCAATGACTATAAAAGCCAGCAGTTGAGAAATCAGACAATCAGATGTGCATTGAGCACATCTGCTGCAAAAGACCCCTTTAAAGTGTTAAAAAGCAAAGATGTCACTGTGAGGACTAGTGTGCACCTGACCCAAGCCATGGTATTTTCAATCACTTTATATGCATATGAAAGCTGAATAATGAATAAGGAAGACTGAAGAAGAACTGATGCCTTTGAATTATACTGTTGGCAAAGAATATTGAATACCATGAACTGCCAGAATAGCGTACAAATCTGTCTTAGAAGACGTACAGCCGGAATGCTCCTTAGATTAAGGATGACAAGACTTCTCACATACTCTGCATATGTTACCAAGAGGGGCTAGTCCCTGGAAAAGGACATCATGCTTATTAAATTAGAGGGTCAGCAAAAAAGAGGAAGACCTTGAACAAGATGAATTGACACAGTGACTGTAACAGTGGGTGCAATTGTAGCAACCAATGTGAGGATGGTATAGGACCAGGCAGCATTTCATTCTGTTGTACATTAAAAACACCCAGACTCACTGCCGCTGAGTCGGATCCGACTCATAGCGACCCCTCCTTAGGTTTCGGAGGTGATATCACTATGGAAGTAGATTGCCCAACCTTCCTTTTGAGGCGTAGCTGGTGGGTTTGAACCGCCATTCTTCTGGTTAGCAGTCAGATGCCTCAGGCACCATGCCATGAGAGCTCCTTCTGTTGCTGTAAGTTGGAATGGACTCAACAGCACCTAAGAACAAACAACTTGAAAACTAGCAATCTAGATCTTTATTCACACTTAAAAAGAAGCAGGGTAAAGGGAAAAAAAAGTTTTGCTGTGAATAATTCAGTGTGATGGATGAATATGAAATCAGGTACAAAATGGAACTGAGAGTCACGCACAGAAAACCCAGAAGTCATGCTGGTTGGTCAGTGTTAAGCTTGTGTTACAGGACTCCTGGAGGAGGAATTTCCTTTAATAGAAAATTTGATATTAATATTGTATCATTCTCTAAATTAAACCTATTCTAGAATAGGTTTAAATATTCATCAATGAATATTTCAACTTCACCAAGTCACCTTTTTAAGACAAAACATTTGCCAATTTATTAAGAGACAGAATTTGGATATCACTGCCCTATACCCTGTACTTTGTCTTTGATCATTTTTGTTGTTGTATTTTTAGTCAACTCTGGTAGCGTAGTGCCTAAGGCACTCAACTGCTAACCAGAAGGCCGGTGGTTCAAACCCAACAGCCACTCCTCAGAAGAAAGATTGGGCAATCTACTTCCATAGAGATACTGCCTCGGAAACCCAAGGAGGGGTCACTTATGAGTTAGATCTGACTCGATGGCACATAACCAAAACAGTGGTTAAATTGGGAGTTCTGGTGGCATAGTGCCTAAGGCATTTGACTGCTAACCAGAAATCTGGAGGTTTAAACCCACCAGCCACTCCTTAGAAGGAAAATTGGGCAATCTACTTCCATAGAGATACTGCCTCGGAAACCCAAGGAAGGGTCGCTGTGAGTCAAATTGACTGGACAGCAGTGAGTGAGTGGTTAAATTATTCCAAAAAAGTCATCACGCTGATTGACCTGGTTTTATCATTTACCATACATTTATGCATGCTGATAAGATTCCTCAAACTATGCAATAAGTTACGAGTTCCACTTCAGTCACTGAGAAAAAGCAGTTTCATTCTAGACAAATTTTAGCAACCATAGAAATTTAATGATTTAGCAAAATACTCTTTCTGTTTTAAGGTAGAAGACGTATTTTTCTTATCTGGTAAGATTAAATAATCAGGAATATGAATTTCATATAGTACATAATATCTATGAAGCAAGAAATAGAATTGAAAAGGATAAATATTAGACATGTATTTTGCATTTTTGACAGAATATATCTTTTCTTAAAAATATCAAGTAAGTATCTTCATAAAGTTTGTTTTTTATACTCTTTCATATTGGTCAAATCAAATTAGGCTTAGTACCCAAGGTCTAATTCTAGAAGACCAGTGCTGTTCATTCACTTAATAATTTATTGGCACCACAGTGTGCCAGGCACAATGAAGAAGATTGACCAAACCCATGTCTCATGGTACAGATGTTGTAGTGGGTGGAGAAGAAGTAAATATGTGATTGAATTATTTCAGGTACTAAGAGAAATTCTGTCAGTAGACCCAATGTTTTTAGCAGTTGAAAGCATTTAGCATTAAAGAACAAAGATAGAATACACGTTTTCATAATGAACTTTGGTTTATAATACCATTTATAATTACTTAGATTTTTATTTAAAAAAGGAAAGGAAGTTAAAAGCCATAACTGGGAAGTATTTTCCCCAACCCAACCCTTTGCTATTTGTGTCCCCATCTAAGAACAGGAATGTGAGCTCCCTTCCTAAAATGAAACATTCCATTTCAGGTAGAAAGTTAGTGGAGTACTTTTTCTGGACAGGTTATTAATAATGTAGTGTTGTTGTTGTTGTAATGTGCTGTCGAATCAGACCCGACTGATAGCAACCCCTCCTTGAGTTTCTGATGCAGTATCACCGTGGAAGTAGATTGCCCC